ACTACAATTTGGGAAGCATTTGTTTTCTGATTTGTACAGTAATAGTAAAAACTTTGATGTTCATATTCTCCCATTATACAGTGCCCAGAAATTATTTGAAGATCTTGTTTAATTCTGAGCCCACATTTCACTTGACTTACTTAAAATAAATCAGTAAAATTTCCCTTAAATTATTTGTATATGACTCTTTTGGTCTCCAGTTAGCCTTAGTTCTGCAGTATACAATCTCATTTTGTGTGCATACATTCTAAAAATAAACTTAAATAAAATTGTTTGTTCAGTGTTGTCTGTCTGTTCGATTTGTGTATCTATTTATATTCGTTCCAAGAAATTTTACTACTTCATGTAATATTTATTGTATATTTGATTTATTTACTATGATGGAAAAAAATTGTTTTGATTTTGAACTGCATAAAGTTACCTGCTCATTTTTCATTAGATTGCATTATTAGATACCTCAGAAAATATCAATATAAAATAATATAAGAACCAGAATATGTAAATACACTATTTCTTTGTAGTTCTAAACATCAAATGCTGCTAAAATATGTTACACTAGATGGTGTTTCTGACACCACTTGCAATTTTCCAGTTCTAATTCCAATTGAGAATTCACAGTTCAATCCTATTCTGACTAAGACCATTAAAGCTGGATGGCTTTCTTTTGTCTAGGTTCTTCATTTTTGGAAGTAATGATTATATTATTGGTGAATCTGGCCTAGCTCATATTTTCTCACAAGTGAGCATTATGTGTCTATCTTGAAGACTGAATACATTTATCATGTGTTATTTCTATGCTGTTTCCATTCTTGGATTTAGTTGCATCATAAAACATATAAAATTCTTACTAAATTATATCCCAATTTCCTCACTATCTGGAAGGGAACTCTAATAGCTATGATTTAAAAAATATTTTATACTCTATTCAAAGTTTTGGCATTATATTTTTAAAATATGTAATTTTTTTTTGGGTACAAACATTGGGATTCTTCTCAGATATTAGAAGAATTAGAATTAGAACTAATTGTCTTATAGCTAATCTCAGGCACCTTCAGTGAATATAAAAGCATTATCAAGTATCAGCTAGATGTAAGACATTACTGAGAAGAATATATAGTCCCTGATTTCAAGAAATTTGCAATTTCTGCAGAGGATTTAGAAACAAGCATGTGAAAAATGAAGTGCAGAGGGGAGGGTATAGCTCAAGTGAGGAGTGCATGGTTAGCATGCATGAGGTCCTGGGTTCACTCTCCAGTACCTCCTCCAAGAATAAGTAAACAAACCCAATTACCTCCCCGCTCCAAAAACACAAAAAACAAAACAAAAAAACAGCAATTCTAAAAGACATATATAAATACTCTAGCCTCAGTGAAAGGTGGTAATTTCAGTATTAATGGATTTCAACCCCCATTGTACTTATACTTAACACTGATAAGCAGAGAAAAAAACACATAGCTGTTTTTTTCCCCTTAACCCAAATTACTAGACCTATCTAATATGTCCAAAGATTCGTCTTAGTTATGTGTACTTTAATTTTTAAATGTTTCTGAGCCAGTAGTTTCTATAAGAATGATTTTCCTTAAAGTCTTGCTCATTTGAAGCATTATAAGTTAATTTTTAATTCTTCTGTTAATTTGGGGACTAACACATTTAAGTATTTATTTATCTCTAAAAAAACCAATCAGAACAGATGGAACACTACTCAGCCATAAAAAAAGAATGAAATAATGCCATTTGCAGCAACCTGAATGGACCTAGAGATGATCATACTAAGAGAAGTAAGTCAAAGACAAATATATGATATCACTTACATGTGGAATCTAAAAAAAAATGACACAAATGAGCTTATTTACAAAACAGAAACAGACTCACAGACATAGAAAACAAACTTAAGGGGAAGGAGGGGAGGGATAAATTAGGAGTATGTGATTAACAGATACACACTACTATATGAAATAGATCAAAAAGGATAGCACAGGGAACTATATTCAGTATCTTGTAATAACCTATAATGGAAAAGAATCTGAAAAAATACATATCTGAATTACTTTACTGTATATCTGAAATCAATACAATATTTTAAGTCAATCATAATTAAATAAAGTCTTAAATGTTCTTTTTTTTTAAACAGCTAACCTTCAAGGTCTTTTTTGCAGTTCATAATTAAGGACAGGATTTTACATTTTTAAGTGTTTTTAATCTCCAACTTTGTCTAAAGATTTTTTTTAAAAGGCTCCAGAATTTTAGTACTTATACACCTGCATCCTACCTATCCAGAGTTCCTTTTATTATTGGAACTACTTAAGGAAGGCCTGTAATTCTCAGACTTAAGACAAGATTTAGTTTGCTTGAACTGAATCCAAAAACGGAGGGATAAAGAAATCAGGGACATCACAAAATATATAGAAGGTAATATAATTTTACAAGTGTAATATGGAGCGTGGAACACTTAATATTCTGCTTCTACATTTGCTCTTTCAGCAGCCTCCTTTATCTGATTCAGAGCCAAAAGAAAGTGGGGAAATTACAAGGCGGATTTTTTAAGATTAAAATTATTAGGGCTAGAGATGGTCATCACTTAATCTTGAAAGACTCAACTCACCAGAAATAGATAATTCTAAACATAAATGCATTTAATAAAGTAGCCTCAAACTATAAATGGGGTTAGCAACAGAACTACTGGGAGAAATAATCTATCATCACAGTAGAGTCAACATTGTCTCAATTACTAATAGCCAATACATAGTGTCAGGAACCCTTGAAATCGTTACCAAATGCAATACATTTTAAGGGTTTGGGGTGCCAACAGTTTCTAATGAGTGCTCAAAAATGCTTAAGTATGAAAGTCCTAAGAAATAATAATTGGAAATACGTGTATTAACACACCTAGGAAAACTGAATTCTGTCGAAAGCTCATAAAAGACACATGGTGTTTCTTTTTCGAAAGTAATTTCCACATATTTAATATATTAGCACCTCCTAAAGTGGGGGGTGAGGGAGTCGGATCCGTAATGGCCAAGGCAAACAGGAGGGGAATATGAACATGTCACTTACATTCACTCAAAAAACATTTATTGAACATTTATCCATGTGCAACTCTATTGATTACCAGTCATTTCAGATCTTCAGAGTTCAAAGAGCCTCAAGAATAAATTATTTCTTAGAAGTTATTCAGGTATTTAAATATTACTCAGAACTGTTTCGAACAAACCGAGATTACGGTAGCAGAAAACTGGCGCCGAAAACTTTGGGCGCAGGCAGCGAGGACAGCTATGAGGAATCCATGGGGTCCTAGGACAGCCATGGAACTGCTCCTTCCTTCAGGCAGCAGAGTGGTCAGCTATGTCGTGGGGGTGGAGGGGACCTGAGGGATGCCTCTGCGCAGGCGCGTGCCGCCTAACTCTACCCAGGAAGAAGCCAAGTTCTCTTTTCGCTTTCGGAGATGGTGAGTGTGGACGTGTTTTGAGTTGCTGTCCAGATGTCTCGGGAGGAGACGGGGTAGGGTAATATTAAGCAGCTCAGTTACCAGTGGGTTGTTTAACCAGGTATTGGAGAATAGTTGGGTTAAGTCACGCGCCTTGGAAGGTTTTTTTGAGGGCTCCGCGAGAGGGTATTACTCAGCGTTTTCTGCAGACCTCTTGGCGCAGTTGGCTGCTTCTAATTTTATCCAGACTTCCTCCTATCGGGCGGGCTTTAGGATTCAAAGACCCCATTTCTTAAACCCTCAAAAAAGCTGGGCCGGTTTGTAGTTCTTTTTCCCTTCTCTCTCTACTTTGTTTTCGTTCCGTACATATATATATTTGATGGCTCAAAGTCACTGAAATGGTCTCATTGAAGACCTAGTAAATTTTAATGGGCTATGAAGGAAATTCACTACTTAATGTTATGGTAATCATCTTGACCTACTTAAAGTGAATAAAATGTAGTCACAATTACAAAGATCTAGTTAAGAAATGTGGAGAACTAGAGCAGCGTCCTCATCACGTGGGGGCTTGTTGCAAATCCAGGAGCTAAGACAAAAGCTGAAGATGACGCTAAAGGGACTGCTTGTTTGATTAACTTTTTTGAGGGATGCGTAGAAGATGCTTGGAAATTTGAGTTTCTAAGATTAATAAAACTTTATTAAAGAATTTAACTGCAAATTACGGGATTGCTAATTTTCATTATACTTAAGCTTGTTTTCTGCCACATGTAAATCGTAAGTTGTCCTGAATTGGCAAACTTTGATATTCAGTGTTTATTTTACTTAGCTCTTTAAGTGAAAGATAAGCAGCGACAGATGCAGGTAATAAATTTTTGGGTCGATGATGAGCTGGCATGTATTCTGAATCTAAAGTTGATTATTACTACTTTAGCTCTAGAATTACTCTGAGACCTGAAAAATACCTGAATCTTTATGAGGGCCTTAGTGCCTAAGTTTCTTTTTGGTCAGAGACTAGGCAATTTTTAAATGGAAGGTTTTTTTAATGGCAAGATGAAATCAAAGTAAAGTTCAGACGTGTGTTTGAATATATGCTCTGGGGCCAAACATTAAACGATAAACATTTATGAAATAACTTTTTTGTTGTGAAAGGGCACACCGCAGAAGGATGTTATTATCAAGTCAGATGCACCTGATACCCTATTATTGGAGAAGCATGCAGATTATATTGCATCCTATGGCTCAAAGAAAGACGATTATGTATGTATGCTTGTGTGTTGGAAAGTCTTGTTTTTTTTTATTAAAGACCATTCTGCATAAGCAGGTCCATGTTTCTTAAAAATGGTATATCACTCTTGCACGACAAGGACTGAAGTTGTCCTTGACGTGAATAAAGTGAATGTACCCTTGGATATATATGTTTGAGGAGCCTTCAGAATTAACTATGGCTCTTACCAATACTTAATTAGAGGCTTTGGCAGACAAAGTAGATTCCTGGACATTGTCCAGGTTTGTAAGGATTTTGAGGTGTGGAATATATTTCTGTGTTTTGTGTTTGTTGTTCGGGTAGTGCTTTCAAGGTCAATGATGTGTTGGCATGTATTACCTGAATTTACTGTGATGTGTAGTATCACTTGAAGCTCTAGAATTACGCTGAGGCCTTGAAAAAGTTTTACCTTAAGTTTGAAACTTTGAAGAATAGTTGCCCCAATTTTCCTCTCTGGGACAATTGTAGAAGAAATTAATGAACTTAAGTGGAAATAAATGTTTTCACCTGTAGTATCCAAAGAGCTGAATTGTTTACCGTGTTGGAAAACACGTAGTGTTGATGAGTTCTTGAATTAAGTGTTAGATTCCCATAACTTTGTGGCTGTGATGTTGTTAGGGCTGTGTTTATTTTTTCCTTGGATGACTAAATGGTTAGGGCTTGATTTTTTTTCCCCCTGCCTTTTTATCTAGTGCTCAACTGCCAATTTTTGAAACCCTGAATTTGGATTCACAGCAAATTATTATGTCTTCCCACCCAATTTAAAACTTTTTAAGATATAATCGATTAGTGATGCAAAATTTAATGGCCTTCATACCACTTTTTATGTCTCCTTTATTAACCTTTGTTAAGCTATTTTATTTTTCATACTGTAGCCAATTTGGTTAAGTAGTTATGCTTTAAATGTTTTGGTTGGCTCTTTTGGAGAGATTAAAGCCTTAGTTATATCACAGATGAGTTTAATATATGCTTAGGTAGTGCACCCCCCATCCCCGCCCTGCCATTTTAGAGCCACAAATTTAAACTTAATACTAATGCTGTTAGGATCAAGTGAAATAGTAAGAATATGGCCGTTTAACTTCGTGTGTTCAGTCTCTTTAACTTGGCATCAATTCAAACCTGCACATTAAAGCAATTCTGTATTTCAGGAGTACTGTATGTCCGAGTATTTGAGAATGAGTGGCATCTATTGGGGTCTGACTGTGATGGATCTCATGGGACAACTACATCGCATGAATAGAGAAGAAATTCTGACATTTATTAAGTCGTGTCAACATGAGTGTGGTGGAATAAGTGCTAGTATTGGACATGATCCTCATCTTTTGTATACTCTTAGTGCTGTCCAGGTAAATACTAATTAAAATTGGGCCATCTTGGTGTAGTGTATTCTCTTACCTGAGGGGAGAAATTGAAGCTGACAAAGGTCAGTATCTATGTTAAAAGGTCGCCTAGATCTTTTCAAGTGAAGTCTCTTCTACAAGGTCAATGATGTGATGGCATGTATTAGCTGAATCCAAAGCTGATGAAAATCCTGAAATTACCCTGAGACCTTGGATGGTAAAATGTTTATATTTGAAAATCACTAAGTGGAATTTTAATGTAAGTGAGGATCCACAAAAAAGAGCTTAAGTCTAAGTATGTGAATCTTGGAGGCTGAGTCACAGTTTATACATAAGAAAACAGTGCTTTGTGATTAAAGGTTTGTGTTTGTTGGTAATACCTGTAGTTCTGTTGCGTAGTATAGGATGGATAGTATGCATGTTTGAGAAAAGTTCACAATATGTATAGACATGGACATGCTTGCTTGACAGCAGGTAGTTGAATATCATTAGAACAACTTAGCAGTGTGAAGAGGTACTTACCATGGTTTGTTTTTGTTACAGATTCTTACTCTGTATGATAGTATTAATGTCATTGATGTAAATAAAGTTGTGGAATATGTTCAAAGTCTACAGAAAGAAGATGGTTCTTTTGCTGGAGATATTTGGGGTAATTTCACTTTAATTCATGACACCCAAAAAATACCAATATTTAAATGTCCTGTTTTGGTGTTTATTATAGTAATAAGCTTTTTTGAAGATTTTAAAGTACAATGAATTTTGGGGGCTTTGCTAATAATTTGTAAGGAGAATTTTTAAGTTTTTCGTCTTTTCAGGTCCCACTAAGCAGCTGGTCTAACTGGAGTTAACGGTCTGCTGGAAGTTCCAGCATGCACTGTGCTAGTTATGTCAGCATACAGGAGTACTGGCACAGAGAGGGCCAGTCTAAAAGATAAGGTAGGTGAAAATTTTCCCCCAATATTTGGTGGCTTTGTAAAGTTTTTAAACTACATGCAAGGGGGAAAATATTTTTTAAAAAAACTTTACAAACTTACTGAATATTTGAGTGGAGGGAGGGAAGGAAGAGTGTTAATGTAGTGATAAACGTAGATATCTCTGCTTTAGGGCTGAATACAGTGCAGGCCGGAGAGACCAGCTGCTTCATGGGATGTGAAAATCTATATGTAATAGGGTAAGTGTATTGTCATTCTTAGAAATTGACTGGCTGGTCCTTTGGTTTTTGTTACTTTCCCTTTTTGGGCACTCTGTAAGCAGCCTAAGATTATTCACTATATTTTTGACAGCATTTTTCTAGCTCTTAGTTTACTTAGAAGTAAAGTGATGACCCTTAAGATTTGATTTAGCTTTTCTCCTGGTGACCTAAAAGTACATGTTAAGTCTTAGAAATTTAACTGTGGTAGTTGTACAGGTTGTCTTTTAATTGTACTGTATAATATGATCAGAAGCCTCTGATAACAAGTAATGTTTTGGTGTGATCCCTTTATTTTTAGGAGAAATTGATACAAGATTCTCTTTTTGTGCGGTAGCAACTTTGGCCTTGTTGGTAAGTTTGAAATATCGTATTGGAATGATTGAGCATACGTGATCATTCTAGAATTTAATAGGCATGTTTTATTCTGTTTACAGGGGAAGCTGGATGCTATTAATGTGGAAAAGGCAATTGAATTTGTTTTATCGTGTATGAACTTTGATGGTGGATTTGGTTGCAGGCCAGGTTCTGAATCTCATGCTGGGCAGGTAATTTATAAAGTTAATTTTAATTGAAGTTAATGTTAGAAGGAATGTTACTTAAGTGTTGCTTACTGAGGAAGGCAATTTTACAGTTGTTTGCTTTGTATAGTCTCCTGTTGGTGAAACCCTGTGACCCAGGCAAACAGTTTTGTAATTAGCAAAAATGCATTTTGATTTTCCATTAGTTTTTAACTAAGCAAATGTGAAAACTATTGTCCCTACCTATCCCAGACACCTGTTTGGTTGCATACATAATTGTCAAGGTTTGCTTCTAGCCATGAAGAAATTTTGACAATGGTATTTCATTGCAGAGTTGGATCCTAGTAATAGTATGTTGGGATTTATTCAAATAATTATGTGGTGTTTACACATTTACAATTCTTAGTGTTCACTGTCAGCAAGCTTTTAGACATAAAATAGAACTTTGACAATCTAAGTAGTTTTTATCACTGTGTTACTATCGAAAAACTATTATACACATGTACTTTATGTCTGTAATTTTAGATCTATTGTTGCACAGGATTCCTGGCTATAACTAGTCAGTTGCATCAAGTAAATTCTGATTTACTCGGTTGGTGGCTTTGTGAACGACAGCTGCCCTCAGGTGGACTCAATGGAAGGCCAGAGAAGGTATTGTTTCATAAGAAATCATTTTATAACCTGGAGTGAGCACCACTTTGTCTTAGATTTTTTTGATACTGTTAATTGATATCGAGCTCTTTACCTTCCTCCATTGCAATTTTTCAGCCTACCTCCTAAAAGATTCTCTTGGCAAAAGTAAAACAACTGGAGTTGAAATGCTTATTAACTCTGGTGTTCCTTTAAAGGACACTCATGGAAAGATTGCATGGTACCGTTTGATTCTCCTTAATGACAGATCTATGTCTCTTGGTCTTTTTTACCCTGAAATTTTAGACTCTGGAGTTATCTAGAGGAGAATATAAAAACAGCAAATACTCGTGGCTTTAAAATATTTGTATTTATAGTATGAATTCTTAAAGGGTCTTTCTCCCCATCCTTCTGAAGGTCTTGTATTTTTCAGGCATTTTGAAATGAAGCTATTTCTACAAACCTTTTAGTTCTGGACTTATACTAAGGGATCGGTTATGCATTAAAGCTTTATATCTGTGAATCAAAGGTCACTTGCATCATGTACAGATAAATCCATGTCCACTAAAGTACAGAATTAGCCAAATCAAAGAGATTTTTTTTTAATTGCGTACATCTTCACTTAAAATCTTAATTTTATTACTTCAAGGAAAATCCCAACTTTTCTCTCACACTTGCTCTCACAGTTGGGTCTGTAAAGACCAGATGGTAAATTTTAGCTTTGTAGGACATATGGTCTTGTTGCAGCTACACAACTGTCCTGAAGAGCAAATGCTGACATAGACATTAAACAAATGGGCATGGTTATGCTCCATTAAAGTTACTGTACACACATACAAACTTCGTACTGTTTTTCTGTCACAAAACTGTTTAAAAATCAAGTCTAGATTTGACTGAAGGGCTGTAGGCTGCTGAGCCCCTGACCTGAAATAAAATAGGGCATGTTGATGCTTTTATCTGGGTCATTGTATTTTTAATTTTGCTTACTTGATATTTCTGAGTAAGTTAATTGGTAGGGAAATAACCACAAGTGATTTATTAAGATCTAATGAAAAACCTGGGCAACTTTCAAGAATTAGAAGAAAATGGATGGATGTGGGGATTGCTAGGAACCTGCACTTCAGAATCTAGGACAGTTTTTAACATGGCTTTGAATCACCCAGGGATCTTGTGGAAATGAAGAGTCTTACTTAGTCTAAGGTGGGGTCTTCTGTATTTCTTAAGTTACATATTTTGAGGGGTGCTTGTTGAAAATGCTCTACCGAGGGCAATGGAGCAAGATATCACGATAGGTTTCATGAGCCTTACTGCCAGCCTCTTGGATAAGGGCCTGATTTGGGCATATTCATTGCAGATAGAAATTAGGTAGATGGATGGTTGTCACTGAGTACTGAAACTGAAACATTTAACCTGGATTTCTGTGGAATGAAGTGTTTGGTCTTTTCCAGTGATCATCTTTAATCCTAAGTAGTTGTATTTCTGGATTTCAGTGTTTCAAACGCTCATTGTTGGTATATTGCGATTTCCCCTCTCCCCCTCCTAGTATTTTGATTAGTAAATAAAATTGTGGCAACATTTATTGGCTTTTTCCTCCTAGTTACCAGATGTATGCTATTCGTGGTGGGTGTTGGCTTCCCTAAAGATAATTGGAAGGCTTCATTGGATTGATAGAGAGAAACTGCGCAGTTTCATCTTAGCATGCCAAGATGAAGAAACAGGAGGATTTGCTGACAGGCCAGGAGATATGGCAAGTATAATTTTATTTGAGAATAATGAAAGATAAAACAAATTACAGAAATTTTGGTTACTTATTGCCAAGAAATGAGAGTGTAGACCAGGTCCTGTGTTTAAAACCCACAATTTGAACGTATCTTTATTTCAGGAAACATTAAGCATACCTTGAAGTAAAGGAAGTAAATACAGTGGGCTCCATTATTAACATTGTTATACCAAGCAGAGTTTTAGAAGTTTTCATTCTGTAATTCTCTACAAATTATTTTTTTTTAATAGGTAGATCCTTTTCATACTTTATTTGGAATTGCTGGATTGTCACTTTTGGGAGAAGAACAGATTAAGCCTGTTAGTCCTGTTTTTTGCATGCCTGAAGAAGTACTTCGGAGAGTGAATGTTCAGCCTGAACTAGTGAGCTAGATTTAAATCCCTCGATGCAAAAGTTGCATAGTATAGTTTGCCATCTTAATGTTTTGGTATTTGAAGTGCTTAGCAAACTTGATGACTACTGTGTTAATATTTTGTAAATGAATTGTGTCAATTAATTTTAATAAATTATTGTAATTATACATATTGTAAAAAAAAACCTTTATTGTATCTTAAGCTTTGTTTTCTTCAGGAATGCTGTTATTCTCAGTACAATATTTTGTTTATGCTTCATTGTATTTGTAAATTTATATCTCTCCTTAACAGCTTAGTTGAACTCTGTTTAGCTGAAGTCTTTGTTCAGTCTGAATTTTCCATGTACTCCCTTCATGTTATATATAAATAAATACAGTTAATGTAAATCGGTCTGTGTTAATGAGAATGTTAACTGATAAAACTTGATGAACCTCATACGAATCAAAAGGTGCAAATAAATGGCTGTTGGAATTTGGGAATATTTCATAGGTTTGTGGTTGCTGAATTGGTCATAATTTAGGTGACAGTTCACCATTTTAGACTAGGACTGCAGTCTGAACTCATCTATTCCCACTTTTTAACATTTTACGTCAATGCCAAAGGATGTTGGCTTATTCTCCCACCCAGTAAGGGAATAGTTGATAGTTGCCATGTTTTCTACCTTTATTTTCAGAAAGACTAAAATAAACACAGCTTACATTCTTGGTGAATATAAAGTATTTTCATGAACATTTTTCTCGATGGAAGTTGAAATTTTCACAAGCATGTTTGCAATACCCCGTGTAAGTCATTTTAAGAATAATTCTACACATGAATGGTGATGAGATTGAAATGTCTAGCTTGTTTTGACAGTTCACTACTTTGAATCAGAGTTTGAGTTGAATTGCCAGTATTTCTGAAAATTTGAAAGTCATTGGATGGAACATAATTTTATTTAAATGGCATCATTGGCAGTTGGAGTTTTGAGGACCATCGTCATTGCATGTGGGTGATTTTTATGGTGTGAAGCCATAGTACTAAAAATTGAGAGGTTGGAAACTTCTAAACTGCGCAAGAGATTCTGGTTCCTACTGTACTGTGGACTATCCCTGTGCTTTCTGGGTGAGTGCAGTCTTGCAGTGATAATAGCCTTGTATCCGGATATTTAAACTGTAAGGGGCTAACGACCTCTCTTTAGCAACGAGGCCAATGTTAAGATGGTTTGTACCAATGTGAGCATTAAATTTGTTTCCACTGTCACAGGCACTGGATGCACAGTGACGGACAATTTGTAATTGAAAAGAATCTAGTGTATTTGAAGGTGCGTCAGAAATGTTAGCACCAAACCCCTTGTGATAAGGGAAATAGGGTGCATTGTGAGTAATGGGTATACTAAGTTGGCTGATTGTTGATGGGCCCTAAATTCTGAGGCTGATGCAGATTAATCTTATAACCAAACTCTGCGGGAGGTTACTGGGCCTGCGGAGAGTACACTTACCTGTGTAGCCCCTGTGTAGACCGGGAGTTGGGTTTGGGAGGTCAGGCAGCTGAGTGGGTGAGGAAAGCTGGGACTGCGCCTGCGCTCTGCTGTGCGTCAGTGCGCATGCGCCTCGGGTTCCCGCTCTTTCCCGCGTTGCTTCCATTCTTCAGCTACACGAAGTGGCGCTCAGAACTCTCGTACTTGTTTCTGAGAGTCTGTGAGGATGCTGCGGCCTGAGATGTCACCACCCTCGCCTTCCGCCTCTGCATTGGCGGAGGCTCGGTCACAGGGTCCCCGCTGCAACTTAGGACTCCAGGAGACGCCCCAGAGCCGCCCTTCAGCCCAGCCGTCTGGGTCCACGCCTCCAGGCACGTCGGGAGCCGCGGGCGACCGGAGCAGCAGCAGCAGTCTCCCTCAGCACCCGCCAGGCGCCCGGCCCGCTCAAGGCAAGGAGTGGCTGGGTGAATCCCGGAGGTTCAGGGAGCCGCGGTTGGTGTTTACCATAGAGAACTTTCAGTAGAGGTGGTCGGAGATGAGCACAGCCGCTTTGGGAATATGCGGGGTTTGCGTGATTAAAGGGCTGCCCTCTAATTCGGATTGGTTTTGTTACAAGGCTGCGATGGCAGATGGCTGAGTTCTGAGGCCGGCTCAATAACATCCCTCCTCCCTGTCTGTATATGACTGATGACTGGATTTGTGCATGAGTTTGGTTACAGGAATGGTGAACGTCTTGGCTCCTGAGCTTAAGTCTCTCACCCTTTCCAGGATGCCATGAAAATAGGCTAAATTTAACATTTCATCTAGTTCAGTTGAATCATATGTTTAGTATGAAAAATGTTCCTCAAGACAAGATGCATGTTTTTATTCGTTCACTCTCCATGGCAAAACCACCATTTTTTCCACGTAGCGTTGCAACTCGGTGGTAAACATGCCAAATCCAGTGGTCACTTTTCAGTGACCTTTCCACTGTATTTTTATTCTTGACCAGGCTTCTTTTGAACACTCTTAAATTGGCCTCCTTAATTCTACTCTCCTGTTTTTCTCCTACCTTCCAGAGAAGTATGCTCAGTTTTGTTAGTTCCCAAATTATTAGTTTTTTTTTATAAGAAAGACAAGTGCAAAGGCACAGAAGTATGATATAGCATATTATTCTCAGCTCCTAAGATAGCTATTTCATCTGTTTTGGGGCTTGTCTCACTATGTAAGATGGGGACAAAAGAATAACATTCGGTAAATTAAATGTTAATAATAATTATTCAGAGAATAATATTCTCAAGGAACTTATGGCTCATTATGGAAGACTCAAAAATCAATAAATATAATTTTTAAAGAATTATATTTGAGGTATTTACAGATCCTGAGGTATGTAATAAGGGGAGCAAAAGTGGCAAAAGAAATTTTGCAAAGGAAGTTCAACTTGAACTAGTATTGAAGGACAAATGAGACAAAGAATGTCAGCTAAAGGAAACGAGGAGAAAAAACCAGAGTGCATTTTTAAGAAAGGAAGATGTGCAAAGACACAGGAAAAGTATGATACAGCATATCATGTTTGCAGACTGCAAATAAGGCTAGAGCAGAAGGGTGATCTGATATACTATTTCTTTTCGATGTAGATTAACTTGGAGTACTTGCAGAAATTCAGTCTGGAAGTCAAATAGGTTTTGTCTGCCATTCCAAAAATGGGTCTCTGGCTTTGGTGAGTGGGTAGATGGTAGTACCATTTATTGGTAAAGGGAATTTTGTAGGAGAAGCAACTTAGAGGAAAAATGACGAGTTTTGTAATGGACATGTTGAGTATGAAGAACCTCTGGGGTATCCATATATTCATATTAAGGCAGTTGAATATATGGATCTAGGGCTAAGAAACTTGGGCTTTACATGAATTTGAAGCCAGAGGAGAGAAGGAAAAGAAAATACAGCAAAACAGAGGTCAAGGAAATTGGAGGAGAACTAAGACAAATAAATTTCAAGAAGGGGCTTAGAGTCTAAAAGTAACATGAGAGTAAGAAACAGCCCTTTCTGTCTCTAGTTTCTAGCAACCACTCCCTTAGTTCCTTTAAGTCTCAGGATGGTAATGGAATCTACTTTGTCTTGGTTCTGCATGTTTCTTTATGATGATACCCTGTACACATCTTTGTAAATATTGGCCTTTATCAAACTCTTCTCAAATTATTCTACTTTGAATGTGTCATTGAATCCTCCTGGGACCCGTACAAAGAAGTTAGATTTTATTTTATGGTAGATATGGTGAGTCACTGAGAAATTGTATGAAAGGGAGTCATATGGTGGAATTTCTTTTTCAGAAAGATCACTGGTAATGATGTGAAGAATGGATTAGAGAGGCATAATACTGAAGGCAAGAACAATGAGGAGGCTTTTGAGAAAGGCTCAAACAAGATACAGGCTTAAAATGGTGTAGGAGGAGTGAAGATGGAGAGAAATTTTAGTGATAGTAAAAAAAAAAAATTGCGAGATTTGGTCACCAACTGGATGTTTCGATTGATGAAAGGAATTAAGAATGACTCCTAAGTTTATGTCTTATGTGACAGGGTGCAAGATAGTACAATTGACCATTACTGGTAGTGAAGAAAAATAAATTTTGAGGGAAAGGTAATGAGTTCACGCTGGGACATTTAAAAGTTCTGGGAAAATATCTAAAGGTTTACATCCAAAGAGTAGTTAGATATAGGGACCTAGATAGAGCTTTCTGTGATGATAGTAGAAATATTCCATATCTGTGCTGTCGAATGAATATAGTAGCCACTAGGCTAAAGTAGCTTTTGAACATTTGAAATGTGGTTAGTGTGACTAAAGAACTGAATTTTAACTTTTATTTAATATAAATAGCCACATGTGGCAAGTAGCTACTATATTGAATAATGCAGATATAGACCATAAAAAGGTTTTTGCATTTTTAAAGGGTTGAAAAAATAAAAGAATAATATTTTGTGACATGAAGATTATATGAAATTCAGATTTCAGTTTCCAGAAGTAGAGTTTTATTGAAACACAGCCCTGTTCCTTCACTTACTCATTGTCTATGGCTGTTTTCCTGTGATAGTGTCAGAGTTGAGTAATGGTGACAGATGGCATGGCCCACAGAGTCTAAAATATCTACCGTCCAGTCCTTTATTTAAAAGTTTGTTGACTTGTGACTTACAGTGTAGGAGAGGAGTTAAAGCTGTACATGAAGGTTTGAGAGTTGCCAGGAAATAGATATTAACAGAAACCATGTCCAGAGAAAGTGTACAGTTTTGATTTGTGAGAGAAAGTGAAAAAAACTGTTGAACCTTGGAATGCCAACAGTTAAGGGGCAGACAGAGGAAAAAGGACCTGGCAAAGGAAACTAAAAAGAAGTAGTTTAAGGAGAATCAAGATAGAGAGTTACCTTGGAAATGGAGGGGAAGAGGAGAAAAGAGACCTAGTATATATACATTTTTAAAAACTTCTATGTGCCAAAACACTGTGCTAGGCTGTTTATTTACATTCTTTCAAATTTTATGACAACCCTGTAAAACAGGTAATACCTTATATCATAGGTAAGTACCTACACAAGGAATTGAATCCAAATGAGCCTGCAAGTTTTTACACCAATTGTGTGGGAGGAGAGAGCTTCACTGAAGAAATTAACAGAGAAAAAGAGGTCTCATAATTACTACATAAAGTAAATATACCTGGTGTATTTCAAAATTAGAAGGTAGTTCATGATTTAGCAAAAGTAGTCACAGTGAACTTGTATAAGCAGAAGCCATATTAGCAAGCACTTTACCTTATATTTTAGTACAAGATTGTTAGTAATGTTATTAAATGTCATAATTTGTAGTATTAAAGAATCATTATCAGATGACGTTTAATAGCAATTATAGGGGTTAATACAACATTGCATAATTCTGAATTTTTAAGAACTGATATTTAATTTTTTTGAATTTAGGTTCATACTTTAAAAACAAGAGATCTCATGCAGAAAACACATTTGCATCAAATTTTACACTTGGGACAAGCTCATCCTCTGTGCGAGATAGTAATTATCCTCAAATACTAAAAACTCCATTGTCTGCTGGAAATCCTCAGAAATCAGGTTATAAAAGTTGGACACCGCAAATGGGATATTCAGGTAAAATGAGTGGAATATTGGCCTAGATGATCTTTTGAAACATTTGAAGTTTTGTAAATTATGAATTAGTGTAGCTTAGTTAATTTGAAGTTATTTGCAACTCATATGGAAGACTGAACGATAAATACATCAATTTAGCCATATCCATAATTTGAGGCTAGCTTAATAAGGCTACGTAGTTTGTGATATTGTTTGTTAATAAATGCAGGTTTACATTATTTTTACCATTCTGACAAAAAACCCACAAGAAAGAGAATGCCTGTCCTTTTATATGATGTTTAAATGTAGAAGTTGATTCTGATAATACTATTGAGTGGTTTTTTTTTAATATTTAAATTTTAGTTTTAATCTAAATTTTGATTTTCTTGAGGGGAAAATGAGTGAGATAGGTCTACGTGTGTAAGCATTCTTTAAAGTACATGCAGTGGAATTTCTTGGTTACAAGGTTTATGAATATAGACAGTTACAAAATGATGACAGTTTGTTCTTCCAAGGTTCTACCAGGGTACAGTCTTATTAGCAGTGAGTTCTTGTTGATCTACATACTATCCAACATTTGGTATAGTCAGACTCCTTAATATTTACCAGTCTAGCAGCTGTGAAATGCTACCTAACTATAATCTGAATTTGCATTTTCCTTGTTATTAATGAGGTTAATTATCTTTTTTTAATTGTCTGTCTTTGCTGGACTATAAACTCCATGGAGGCAGAGAATGTAGCACTTAGGATCCAATCTGAAGTAGAATCATACAATGATTTAAACAGGGGAGATTTAATATAAAGAATTCTTAAGCTATGATAAAAAAGTAACTATAAGGTGTAAGAAAACTCTGTAAGGGCCTCTAGGGCTGAGGTGACTCCCAGGAGGTCGAACTTGGAAGTGGGGACCCTCTGCAATCCATCTCCCAAGGCTGGGACACAAACCTCTTTGGAGGAGGTGAAGTTGAACCCACTGAATGGCAGTTTCAGTAGTGCCTGCAGATTGGGTAGGCCAGAGCTGGCTTGCTGTCCAGGGCAAACAGGAAGCAGGCAGGGTGGGTGAACTATAGCTGGTGGTGGGAATGTAGCTGTGCAGTGGGAGTGGTTTGGAGGCCTGGAGCACACAGTCTCCCTGTTGGGAGGGCAGTGGCATCAGGAGGACTGGGCAGACTTGAGAAGAGAGTGAAAGAGCAGAGGGAATTAGTTTATGGGCAGAAGGCCTGGAGTGCAGGATATCTGTATCAACAGGGCTGTGGGAAGGTTGTTACCACGCCCGGCTGAGTCTGTGTGATTGCCAAGGACAGCATATTCTGGGTGTACAGCTGGGCACATCACCACCAGATGTCTCTATACCTACACTGCTGGCCCACCATGCTGCAGTGGAAATCGCAGGAGAGCCCTATCCTGCACAGTCCCTCCAGTGCCCTCTACTGAGAAAACACTATGCACACTTTAAAGGAGAAAGGCTTATAGGAATTCTGTCCATTATTGCAGAGCTTATATTGAAATGTGAATTTGGAGCTGAGTGACAATAAATTGATAACTGGCATAACTCCTTTGGCTATTCAACTTCCATATATGCCATTCTACACACATTTGGACTCTTACAACAATTAAATGACTGTTTCTATGTAACAGAATATATACATCTGTACTTACAAGTGAGGGAGTTCTCACTCTTTCCGAAAATGACAAGATTCATAGTCCCAACAGTCATTGTATATTAATTATCTCAAAATCAGTCATGGTCCCTTTGAATATTTTATTACTTAAAGATTACATTGTGAAGTCCTCCAATAACTTGTGCATAAAGTTTTTTAAATTGAAAAGAGAGAGAAGAAAATGTTTAGTTTATATAAATAAACATGTATATGACAAAGCATAGAGAAAATATCCAAAGCTACCACAGTTTTTGTTTCTGTAATTGGTCATGAGGTTTTAGTTGATATCTATGGCTTCCTTCTTCCACTACCCATTCCATATTTCCCTTACTAGCAGCAATAATGGTGGAATGACCCTAACCTTCATTCCTAAAGGGTCTAGATCCTTTGTCACTCTGCCTCTTTTTGGTGTCTGTAGTTTTCCATTAACCTTTTCTATTGGAAATACTAAAGGGTGCCTAAGAGAATCCCCTGGGTTCCATACAAAATCTACTTTACCTGCATTGTGTTTAGCAACGTGATATCCCCTTGGCAATAAGGATCGATTACTCCATCGATAGATAACCCCCTCCTTTTTTGCCTGTTGGTTCAGTAGCATAAATAAGGAGCCCCAAATGGCCAAGGGGCAGTCTCATCTTCCAATTCAGTGGAACCGTTGTTGTGTTACCTGGGGAACCAGTAACCTTGTGGAGACTAAGATCTCCAAACCAACAGGGCTCAAGTTTGTCAGGATGGGAAGCAACATTCTTTAGGAAGGTTATGAGAAATACAGCACTTGTGATTCAAAATGGAAACTGCATCGTGTAAGATGGAACCCCAATCTTTTGGGGGTGTTGTCTCCTAGTTGGTACCATAACTGGGTCTTCAGTAAGTCATTCTGCCCTTCGACTAAGCCAGGCATTTCTGGGTGATGGGGAATGTGGTAAGACCAGTTGGTTCAATGGCCTGAGTCCATTGATGTATGTATTTCTTTTGCTGTGAAGTGAGTTCCTTGATCAGATACAGTATTGTATGGAATACCATAATGGTGGATCAGGTACTCTGTAAGTTCATAGATGGGGATGTTGGCTTTGTGGGCAAGGAAGGCAAATTCATATCTAGAATGTGTGTTTTTTCCCAGTGAGGGCAAATATCAGCTCCCTCCTTGATGGAAGAAATCCAGTGTAATCAACCTACCATGAGGTGGTGTGTTGTGCCCCTGCGGAATGGTGATATATGGGCATGTTGATCTCTGCTGTTGGCAGAAGAGAAAGTTCATGTCGTTGAGCCCATGCATATAGCCTCCATTCTTGCTATTATGGCCAATTTGTTCATGGCTCTGTTGAGGAAACACTGGAGTGGCTGGGAAAAGAGGCTAATTGACATCAACAGAGTGTATTATTTTGTCCACTATTATTGTCTCCTTTACATTGGATGCCCTTTGGTGAGCATTCACATGAGTCAGATATTTTCAAAGACTACTCCCATTAGAAGAGATTCATCCACATACTTCTTCCCCAACTTTCCTTGTCAGTATCTTCCAACCCTGTTTCTTCCAGGTCCCTGACCACCCAGCTAACCCATTAGCAACTGCTCATGAATGAGTCCGAATCTATACTTCTGGGTTATCTCTCATTCCAGACATGATGGAGAACCAAATGTATTGCTCATCGTTCTGCCCAAATGAAAGTTCAAAATGAACAAAACAACTCAAAAAGTTAGAAGAAAATAGTAATGTATATCAAATATCTCAATGAAGGAGGAATTTCTTAGCAGAAAAGCAATGGAAGAAATTATAAAGGGAAAAATTGTCTATACAGAAACCTTTTTGATATCAAAAAAAGAAAGATTGGTAGCAACTAAATTATTGTCATTGATTTATAAAATTCTCATAAAAACAGATTAAAAACATTAGAATGCAGAAAAAATTGTGTAAAAGGTGTAAGCATCTCAAAATATAGAAAACAAATGAATATTAAATCATGTTCAATTTTGAGAGTAATTTTTTAAAATATAAATTTAAGCAATAGTCATTAGATTGGTCGATAGTAATAACAATAACAACTATAGTAATAATAATACATTATAGAGGTTAGTAGTGGTAAAGATTCAGCAAGACTGGGTTTTCTCATATACTGTTGATGAGATTAAAAATTGGTACAATTCTGAAAAGAAATTTGGCAATATTTATGAGATCCTTTAGACAGTTTCATTTCTTCCAGTAATTTGACTTCTAAGGATCCACTCTGAGGAAATAATAAGAGACCCAGAAAAAAGCTTTATGTATGCTATGATGCTCATTATAGTATTACTTATAACAGAGAGATAACAGTATAAATGTTCTTTTTAAAGTTTAAAGGAGCTGTCTTCTGAGTGTACTGAATTTGCACTGGAATTTGGTATTTATCTTCAAGTTAAAAATAGGAAGTTCATATTCGATTGCAGAACTTAAACTGACTTCTGTAGATTTAATATAAACTCAATCACTATGTATCACAAGGCTTTCATGGCAGAAAAGGTTCTGAGCACAAAAGGAGGGGCTAAAAGGGATATGATGAAAAGTTGACAAGAGAATAAGAGACAATTTTGCTTCTTTGAAAATAAGATTTTAAACATGTTTAGCCTGACGTTTAAAATCTATGAATAATGCTTTATAATTTCATATACTTTACAAAACACTTCTATATTATGTTTAATTCTTACAAAACTTTGAAAAAGATTTGGTATTTCCGGTTAACATACAGATGAAGAAATGGTAGCTTTAGGAAGGTTAAACTACTGACCTGCATATTTATGTTCTGTAAGGCACAGATCTCGAAATCAGTAATATATGTAGTGGTTAAGGACACTAGCTCAGGAGCCAGGCTGCCTATGTACAAATTCTACTGGCTTCATTCATGCCTCAGTCTCCTTAGAAGTAAGTGGAAAAAATAATGATGTCCATTGATAGAATCATTGTGACAAATAAGTTAATCCAAGCAAAGAACTTAGAACATTCTTGGTATGTTAATAAAATATCTAATATTACACAGGTATTTTATAATTGGAGTTTATACTTTTGTAATGTTTTATACTTTATAAAATACATTCATATATATGTTTGATCCAGCCAACTCCAGTTAGGTAGGGTAGTTATTGCATTATATTTTTATATATGATTTATTAAGAAATAATCTGCTTAGATTCATATAGCTTTTAAATGACAGAGTAAGATAAGCTATTTTCTGATCCGAAATTTAGTGTTTCTTTATGATTTCATTCCACTAAAGTGCAAAATAAGACAATATGTAAGTTTATTATTTTTAAATCTGAAGTTAAGTTTTGACAAAATACTTACAGAATTAACATTTTTATTTGGTCTGGTTATGAGAAGTTATTTTTTGATGAGGAAAACAAGATTTTTCCTTGGATTATTAATAGTTGTGTCCTAGATTTGGTGCTTTGAGATCTTATGAGAAGGAACTAGAAAGTATTATTATTAATGTTTATACATTTTGTTAAAAAATTTTTTTAACAGCTACATCCTCATCTGCAGTTTCTGCGCACTCTCCATCAGTTATTGTAGCTGTTGTAGAAGGGAGAGGGTTTGCCAGAGGTGAAATAGGAATGGCAAGTATTGATTTAAAAAGCCCACAAATTATATTGTCTCAGTTTGCAGACAACACAACATATGCCAAGGTAAGTATTTATACTTGTAGGAAATGGTTCATCTAGAGGGCACTATGCAGATTTTCAAGTCTGTGCTTTTCTAATTAGTTTACTTTTTGGTAAAATAAAGATTATTCATGATTGCATCAATGTAGGTTACTCTGAATTAAAATAAAATTGTTTTACATTTGACTTAAATTTTTAATATATTTTGCTCTGAAATAAAATGCTTTGCTGTTACTTGAACATTCCAAATTTATATTAGTTTGTAAAATTAATGTCTTCATATTAATAGTTCCTGGACTGATTTCAAAGATAATGTATTTAATAATGCTGTCCCCAAAGGGCTGTTTCCACTGGACTGTATTTGAATTTTATTTTCCAGAGGTAAGGGAAACTTGTGTCTTTGATCAGTAATAATTTAGTCTATCAACTTGTTGCCTTCCCTTCTTACCACTCATCATTAATTTGGGTCACTGGCCCTATTGTCATGGGAATTTGTGTGACTTAATCAGGTAGAGATAGTCTGCTCCTAATCGCTATATTCTAAAAAGTTACCTGACCCAATTACTATTATTAAAAGATATTAAATATGATGTTATTTTTAATGTTTTATTGTTCTTTATTCCTTTCCCTTAGGACCCCTTTGTGTTTCCCCATTATGTAGGCTTCCTTTTGCTACCGAATAATTTATTTTTAATATACCGAACAACCTGCATGATTAATAGTACTGCATACTAACTTTATCCCTGGGTATTTCACATTTTTATGCAATTTAAAAAGAAAAGGATAAAAGCTTTTGTAAAATACAGGAATGTTTGGCATATTGATTAATAATTTGTGTCCAGAATAGTTCCAAGCAATAAACCTTATTTTGGGAAAAACATCAGTCGTAAAGCAGATATTTCTCATCTGTGTTTTTGTACTTTTCAACTTCTAAGCTGTACCAGTGTGGCCACACTGATTGAATCACCATAGTTACACTATTGAATGTATTTGTTTTTCATAAACATACTGGATATAGATAGATAAAATACTGGGTAGATAAAATACTGTGTAGAAGAATTTAAAAAGTCTTTTTTTAGAAATATATATCTGATAAGTTCAAATTAATTTGGGGGCTTAGAGCTGATACAAACTATTGTGAATAAAATATAGCCTATGTTTATAATATTTCATACTTACGATTTTATAGGATATATGTTTAACATATCACTATTAGAAATATATTTTAATTAAAATATATAATTAAGACAGTTGTGTTTTTTTATATCTCTGAATTAATTATAAGTACTTATCTCTCAGAAAAATATGAAACTTTTTTGGTTTTAGAGAATCCTAAGCTTACATTTAAGAAATTGTTTATTCAAATGATTTTTAGGTGATCACAAAACTCAAAATTTTGTCACCTTTGGAAATAATAATGTCAAATACTGCTTGTGTTGTGGGGAATTCAACAAAGTTGTTTACTCTGATCACAGAAAATTTCAAGGTACATGACTTTTATTCTCAATAGTAATGTTCAAGATCTTATTTATTTAATATCCATAATATTCTAAAAACAATAATTTGAGTAACTTTATATTTACCCTGAAGTACTCACTAAATACAAGTCTTCAGCTAAGGGATTATTAATACATATAATAAAAATGACAGACAGTCCACTTATTTAATCTTGTACCCTTGAAATACTTAAAAGGAAAAATGTTTTAGGTAATAAGGGGGTTTCCCAGAGTATATCGGAAGCAGACCCTTTGAGAAAGCATGGACTTCCTTAGGTATAGCTCCTTGGAAATGAGTTATTGTGCTGCCGGACTAGTTGAAATTAAAGTTTATTCTTGTAGAGGATAGCAGTTATCAGCAAGTACTTTTTTTGAGGAGAGTTTGATCTGTGTTACAGAATTATTTCAGCTTCCCCTGGCAGCGTGATCTCATAGTTAGCTTACTACTCTAGCCTCCCTCTGGGGACTGTGACAGGTAATCCTCCAAAGGTGAAAGCAACATATATTTACTACACTTGAGATGTAAGACAGTAAGTACAGGCTGGTGCTTAAGAGTAGAGGAGTCACACTGCTCTGGTTTCAAATCCTGATTCTAAATGACTTTGTGCAAGTTAACCTCTTTAAGCTTCAGTTTTTTTTTTTTTTGTCAGTAAGATAAGGATAATAATAGGATCTGCCTCCTAGAGAATTGATATTTTATATAGGATAATCAGAAATGGTCTCATTATGAGGTTCCATTTGGGCAAAGTCCTGAAGGGAATGAAGGAGACAGTCATAGAAGTATTAGGTGGAAATGAATTGTAAGCAGAGGGAAGAATCAATATTATTATTATTATCATCATTATCACATTTACCATAAAAAGACCTTAAGTAAATAAGAAGCAAAATGAAGTGGAAGGAGCATGGACTTTGTAGTCAAAGAAATTTAAATTCAGTTCTCAGCTCTGGCATGTATCAATCAGATGATACTAGAAGACTTACTTGACTTTTCAGAATTTGACTTACAGGAAAATTGTAGTTAATACAAGACTTACATTATAGGTTATTGTGAAGATTAAATGAGATAGCTGTTCAAACAATATTGGCATATAACAAATTCTCTACCTGCTTATGATTTTTTTTTTTGGTCTTACAGCTGTTTCACAGTCCATTGTTACTATATTACCCTTCTTGCTTATTACTTTTATTCAAAGTGGGCAGACGTTTTACTTCACAACTTCATGCTTTTTTTGTGCTCTTTTTAAAAAAGTTCCATTATCTCCTTTTCTTTATTCTAAATAAATCGAATTCATCTCATGTAGATAGCATTTCATAGATTCGATAGCTGGAATTGGTGTTTTTGTCTTTCTCAATTAGTATATTACAAAGACTTACCCTCTCTCAGTTATGATAGAGTTTATGAGGCTGATGTAAAACCTTTGTTGCTGCTGTTGCTGTAGAATAAAATTAGTAGAAGGCAGAGACTCGTATGTTTATTTTTTATTATTATACTTAAGATTCAGTTAAATTTCCTGTGAGTATGACCTATAAGAGCTACAGACTACTATAATTCACTAAGCAAGACAGATCATCATTCTTTTTTTAAGAATAACTAAGATAACTTATTCGACTCTAGGAAATAATAAATAATGAAAACTAAACTTTATACAATATTTAAGCCACCTACTTGTGTACTAGCATATGTTTAGGAAAGTAGTTTCGGGCAAGTGCATGAAACTTAAAATTTATTTTGAAATTAAAAATTCTTTTCAGAATGTTAATTTCACTACTATCCAAAGGAAATACTTCAATGAAACAAAAGGATTAGAGTACATTGAACAGTTATGTATAGCAGAATTCAGTACTGTCCTAATGGAGGTTCAGTCCAAGTAAGTATGATTCAGGGGAAGTAATAAATCTCTAGTGTGTGTTCCGGGGGGGGGGGGCGAGGTCTTTTAAAATGTTTTGTTCTTTGTTATGTCCCTACCACCTAGAAAAGTACCTAGCTCATAAAACATGCTTAGTAATTATTAAAATAGTAAGATAGCTAACTAAAATTTTTATGTAAGGCATATCTGACTAATTTAATTTGTGTAGAATTTCTCCAAATTTGTCATAATCTATTGCCCTAATGGTTGATGTTCACTTTACTGTGGGGAGAAAAGCTCAACTAGCTACAGTAAACTGGAAATGTGAGGGTACAGAAGTGAAACACAGTTAGAGCTGTGTTCTTGTTACTTTATCCTATTACTTCTTAAAGATTTAGAATGAGACAGGGTGTGATATTTTTGGAATGGATATTTCTAGGACATACTAAACAGATGCTTTCTTTGAGCCAGGTTGGACCACTTGTTTTCTCAGTTAATCATGGCAACTGCTGTCACCAAGATCAAAACACACTTTCCTATACATTGGGACTTCCTGACTGTACCTTTAAAGCTCTGAGACTTTTCAATATTATTTGAATACATACTTAGAATGGTACATCAAAAATTTTCACAAATTACCATTGAATGTTGTCTTCTAACGTGATTTATGGGTGTCTGGTATCCCTTTAAGTCTCAGACTTCAGAAAATTATCTATTTTTATCCAACTTAAATTTTTAGAGATTATTTAACTAGTTATCAAAAATAAGGAACACTTGGTATGCTTTTTCCCTTTCAATTTAAGTGATGCTATGCAAATATTTTTAATTTTCCTAATATTAAGATAAAATAAATGTTTCCTTTTATAGCAATAATTTTTTTTTATTCTAAAGATTTATAGTGATGTATCATTGGTCACTTTACAGGTATTACTGCCTTGCAGCCGTTGCAGCTTTATTAAAATATGTTGAATTTATTCAAAATTCAGTTTATGCACCAAAATCACTGAAGATTTGTTTCCAGGGTAGTGAACAGACAGCCATGATAGATTCATCATCAGCCCAAAACCTTGAATTACTAATTAATAATCAAGACAGTAGGTAAGATCATCCAGTTTTTTTTCTTAAAAAATCAATATATTTTTATATGAATAGTTTACATTTCTTTAAATTATTCATTGGCAAAATATTGAAGGAACATATTTTTAATCATTGTACCATCATTGCTGAACTGCTCAGATGTTTCTCCAAAGACTGGTTTTAAAAATATATTTGTACTAAGCAAGAAAAAACCCAATAGCCCATTTCAAAACTAGGCAGAGGACTTCAACAGAGACTTCTCCAAAGAAGATACACAAAGGGCCAATAAGCGCATGAGAAGCGGTGCAGCATCACTAGTCATTAGGGAAATGCAAATGAAAACCACAAGTACCACTTTCTACCCATTAGGATCATTATTACCAGGTAAATGGAAGATCAGCATTGGTGAGGATGCGGAGAAACTGGAATCCTGATCCAGTTATGGTGGGAATGTAAAATGATGCAGTCAGTTTTAGAAACAGTATGGTGGTTCCTCAAAAAATTAAACATAGAATCACCACATGATCCAGAAGTCCTAATTCTAGGTATATACCCCAAAGAATTAAGAGCAGGGACTCAAACAGATACTAGCATACAAGTATTCATAGCAGCATTATTCACAGTAGCTGAAAGATGGAAATAAACCAAATGTCCATCAATGAGTAACTGACTGAATAAGTAAAATAAGGTGTATACATACAATGGAATATCATGCAGCCTTAAAAAGGAATGAAATTCTGATACATGCCACAAGATGTATCAACCTTGAACAGATTCTGCCAAGTGAAATATACCAGACACAAAAGGAAAATTATTTTCATTCCACTTACATGAAGTACCTAGAATAGGCAAATTTGTAGAGGGACTGGGAGAGGTGGAAACGGGGGAGTTACTATTTAATGGATTCAGAATTTCTCTTTGGGATTATGAGAAAGCTCTGGAAATGAATGGTGGTAATGGTTGAACAATGTTGCAAGTATACCTAATAGTCTGAATTGTGTCCTTAAAATGGTTAAAGTGGTAAAATTTGTGTTTTGTATGTTTTATCATAATAAAAAAGTTATTGCATCCAGAATACTACAAAATTAAAATAGCCAGTTTTAAAAGTATTAAATACAGAAAATCTATAATCATTTGAGAAGGTAAAAATAGTTGAATCACTTAAGTCTTGGGTATATGACTAGATTGCTTGTTTTATTGGTTTATTATTAGCTTTAGTTAGAGTACCAGGAATACTGACGGTAAGCACAAAAGAGAGGGAGAAATGCACACATGTGTGTGCAAGAACATGTAGAGTATTTATAGATTTCATAGTGGGATACCTAATCTAGAATCAAAATGTTATTAGAAGATAATGCAATCAACCTGTGGCAGTGTTTACAGCAGGGATAAAACCATATAGTTTAATATGGGTTCAATTTTGTACAGAGAATTAGTGAGTCATGGTTTTTCTCCTTGAGGAATTACAGCCTGGAGGAGACACATAGTATCACAGTTACATTAACATGTGCTAAGAACATCAGGCCCTCAGTATCTGAGGGACCCTGCAGTTGGTTGAATCTGCGGATGTGGGACCTGTGGATATGGAGGGCCGACTGTGCTAGGCCATATTATATAAGGGACTTAAGTATCTGCAGATTATGGTATCTGCTGGAGGTCTTGGGATTAATCCCCTGCAGATACAGAAGGATGACTGTATAGTGGTATGAAAGTTTGTATAAAAAATGATGGGATCCTAAGAGAGTTAGTTGGGCTTAGTACAGAGGTAAAAGGGGATTAATTAGGAAAGGCTTTCTAGAGGAGATAACACCTGACATAAGTTTTGAAGTATAAATAGAAGTTATCCAGATAAAGAAGTAGAAAAGGTGATAAGACAGTGAAAAACAAAGTCTTGAAGCATGATTTTCAACACAGCAATATGGTACATGCAGGGAAACTAGAAGCTAGTTTGGTACAGTGCAAGGTGGGGATAAGTAATCTTAGAGGAAAATCTCAGATTTCAGTAATTACATGTAACTTCAGATATCAATGAAAGGGATAAACTTAAAATGACTATAAACTTTAGTATTAAGAGTATTGAACAGAATAAAGAGTACTTTAGACAGTGGAAACCTTAATGTACTCAGTACCGATTTGAAAGCCGTAGTGTTCAAATATTTGTCGTTTTATGCATTCTTATCTTGGCTTCACTTTTCCATTTTGTGAAATCTCCAGACAGTACTTACTCTTGCAAACTTAGAAGCCCAAAATATCTAATTTTATTATTTACCTTAATCTTCAGGAACAGTTTAGATCTATCTAGATAATTGTTGGTACTAATTTTAGTAAAGGTAGGAGCAGTGCTGTATACACTGCTTTTCATTATCCATCAGTAGAGTAACCTCAACACCTTTGCAGTTCTGTCAAATAATGATGGTCTAAAATTATAATCTTTTTAAGGAGTTTATAATTAATTGTAGTTATTCCTTTTCAACTTCGTAAATTAATATTTTTTCTATTGCTAGAAAAAAGAGTTAAAATAATATTGGAAAAAGTACTCTGCCATTGACTTTCTGTGTTAAAATAACATTGGGTAACATAGAAAATCAGTAAGGCTGGTAATTATTACAGTGTTTCATATTCAGTTTTACTTCGTCACATTCCATAGTTTATCATTATTTACCATTACTATTGCCAAACATTGCTTGATTTCCTGCTGTATGTTAAATGATAGGATATTTGCCCTCTAGGAGTTCATATTATAGTTGAAAGGAGAAGTTGAGGTCTTTTCACAGACTTGAACCTAAGAATATTAGGTTAAAAGGTGGATATTCTACCTACTGAGCTATCTGAATACCTCTAATGCTTCTATGGATTTGTCACCTGTTCCATGTAATGTTTCACTCATTGACTTCTAGATAGCAAATGGCAAGTTTAGGTGTGCTCCTCACTTCCTTTGTTTCTGCAGAAGCCAGGTTCTCAAAAAATAAAAGAATTGTGCCTGTTCAGTACCTATGATGAACCACCGCCTTACTCCCAGCCAGGACTTGATTCTTGATTTGAGTAGTTCCCTAAAAAAATGTTTAAATTGATGTATCAAAAATCTGGTAGTTTGATGATTTAAGAGACATTCTTATTTCCCTTCCTCTCTTCACCCAGATTCAGTGTATCAGTAAATCCTCTTGATGACTCAACCTTTAGAGTATGCGCCTGTTCTGGATCACTTCTTACCATTTCCAAGGCTGCAATCCTAACCCATATCTCCATCATGTTAGCCTGGACGACGATATAGTATAATAGCCCCTAAATTGTCTCTCTTCTTCTCCTATTCTCAACCTAGTGGTCAGAGTATAATCCTCTTAAACCAAAAATCAGATCTTGAAAGTTCCTTGCTTAAAATCTTCCAGTGCTCTCATTACATTTAGAAAAGCATTCAGACTCTTTACCATGGCCTACAAGAATTTCTGTGTCCTGATCTCTGTCATCTTACTCATTCATTTCCCTTCATTCTTACCCTCATTTGCAGTCCTCCATCAGCTTTGATACTCGTTCTGGTTCTGGAGCCAGAAAGACTACCTGGGCTTAAATTGCTGTTCTGGCCTTTTTAAACTGGTAACTCTTTTCTTACTGTTTGCTTATTTGGAAACCTTGGACAAGTTACTTAATTTCGTTGTGCTTCAGTTTCTTCCCTTATAAAATGTGGTTAATAATAGCATCTATTACCATTATTGTTAGAATTAAATAAGTTAATATATATAAAGTGCTTAAAATAATGCCTGGAACATACTCAGTATTCAGTATGTGTTAGCTCTTCTCACCATCATTGGTATCGTTATCCCCATCTCATCATTGTCAGATGGATGCTTTCTTAACTAAACTGCCCAAAACACACACAGGTCTTTCTCAACCAGCCTAACTAAAGTAGCCCTCCTTTTCATTCTCTGTAGAGTCCTGTTTGTTTGTTTTTAGTAAACAGGACTCTGTACCTGAAATTATTTTTCTTTCTCTTACTTACAATTCTCAACTTCTTATGTTAGAACAGAGTGATTATATTAAATACTCATTTTATCAATGTAAAAGATGTTTCCCCCTTTAAGGATATATTATTGCTATCTTGCTATTATTGACAGAATGCCATGGACTAGAATGTTTTATATTAGTCTGAGTATTGTAGCTGGTCTATGGAAAAAAGCCATTAACTAACTGCAGAAAGATACTGTTGAGTCTTGTTAATCAAAGTGTGCTTCACTAATTGACAGCATACTTGGGAGTTTATTCAAAATGTAGATTCTCAGGCCTCATCCCTGACCTACTGAGTCAGAATTCTCATGTGATTTGTATGTATATTAAAGTTGGAGAATCACTACTGTAAATTATAGGATTATTTCGAAAGTTAAATTGCAGCTTTCTTGGGTTTTCCTTTGTATACGTAATGAAATTTTCCTAACTTATGTTTTCGAAGGAGTAATCACACACTCTTTGGTGTTCTAAATTATACTAAGACTCCTGGAGGAAGTAGAAGACTTCGTTCTAATATATTAGAACCTCTAGTTGATGTTGAAACCATTAACATGAGATTAGATTGTGTTCAAGAACTGCTTCAAGATGAAGAACTCTTTTTTGGACTTCAGTCAGGTAAATGAATATCATTTATCACTTTTACAAAAAAAACTATTAAAAATACATTTTTTAACTTTTAAAAATTGAAGTATAGTTAATTTACAATGTTGTTATTAGTTTCTGGTGTACAGCATAGTGATTCAGTTATACATATGTATCTATATTTTCCATGTTCTTTCTCATTACAGTTTGCCATTGAATATAGTTCCCTGACATTGTCTTCTTACAAAGATACCAGTCATGTTGGATTAAGGCTCATCCTAAAGACCTTACCTTAACTTGTTTACTTCTGCAAAGATCCAATTTCCAAATAAGGTCGCATTCAGATACCAGAGTTTAGTATTTCAAAATTTCTTTCTGGAAGACACAATCCAACTCATAGCATGAGATAAAAGAATTGCCCTTGGCACCTGGCTATTTGTTCACTGGCATGGCAGTGCAATTTTCTTCTTAAATCTGTAGGTGGAAAGACAGTTTATATGCACTGGTCCTAGTCTAATTCCTGGTTTCTAGTGGCTTGTTCTGTCTTCCATACCCCCAGTCCCTCAACCTCCCTACCTGTTGTTTTGGTAGTCTAAACCGAAGTGGTACATGAAAACCTAGAAGGCGTTTACAGCCTAAATATTTTCCTCAGTCCAATTCTAAATACCTTTAAATTAGTATAATTTATTCAAGTATTTGGTCTTATATTGACTACAACTCTGCATTTCCAATGCTGTTGAGTATATTAATTTTCTCCATATATTCCTGTGTATTTAGTGAGACTTTGGGAAAGGTACAAAAAGGTCACTAATAACTGGTAACCCTTGTTGTTCACAGCAACACCTCATCTCTCTTCTCCCATTCGTTGCCAAACTTGGTGAAAAGCAGATTCTTGGCATACCTTATCTTCTTTTCATCACTACACCTCAGTCTGCTGCAGTCTTATTTCTGTGCTCACCACTGCAATGAGATTGATTTTGTCAAGGTCACCTTAGCAGATGTTGTTGGTTCTCTGTCCAGATCTTCCTCAGTCTCTTTTACCTTTTTGTGTGTGCCTTTCCCTGCTCTGTGAGCGTTTGTTTCTAATGGCTTGCACCTGGACTCTTTCCTGCCCTCAGGCTCCTAGAGCACTTTGCTCTCAAGCACAGAGTGCCAGAAGTGCTTCACGGCCCTTAAATGACTGAATGATGTGGGAGTGTCAGAGTCCAGCTGCCTCACACTGATTTGGCAAAAATCATGAATGCAACTTAAAAGTCCAGAAGTCTTCTACAGGATTGGTTGGAATTACCTTCCATGGGACTTCGCCTGAAATTATACTTCTGCTTGGCTTTTTCCCCTTTCCTGTCTTTTTCTTCTTTACTGATTTCTCTTAGAAGTATATTCTTAATAAATCACTTGCACAAGAATCCTCATCTCAGAGTTCTGCTTCTGGAGAACCCAGCCTAAAACACTCACCCATAGTCTCAGTTGGTCAAATTTACCAATTGGTAAATTTAATGGACACGTATTAGTTCTCCTACGTGAAATCCAGCTTCTGTGGTACTGCTGAAAAAATCTCCTTGTTGAATTACTGCCATTCTTTGCTCCTGATTGTCTTCCTACTTCTTTGGGGTTTTTTTTAAGCTCTATCACTCATTTCTTTTAAAAGTTTATATGTCTATCCAATCAAAACCAACAGGATATCTCCCTTGAAATGTTATCTTTATGATTTCCAAATAGACTACAGGACTGTGTACTGTCTTGGAATGTCCTCCAAAAACTCTGTATTGATCAGATGGGAGAGAGAAAGACTTCTTTTTAGGCTTGTTTTCCTTTGCTCATTCCCTAAATGCTATGGCTCTTCAAAATTATGTCCTAAGTTGTCTTTTTACCCTATATAGTCTTAGTATATGATTTACCCACCTTCCTGGTTTTGTAGTTATCATTCATATATCCATAACTTCCAAATTTTTATTTCATGCCCAGATATCTCTACAGCCCTTCAGCCGTGTATGTCTCACTGCCTACTGAGCACTTAAGAGATGTTCCTCAGTATCTCAAATTTAATGTGTCCAAAGTGTGACGTCTTCCCTTCTAAATCAGTCCCTTCTGATTTCAGTGAATGGCTCTACGTCCAAGCTTTTTACCAAACCAGATACCTGGAAGTCATTCTTGATACTTCACTTCCCTGGCTTTAATCATCAGATTCTGCAAAATCTCTTCTGTGTAGCTCTTGCATATATTAGCTTCTGTTATCAGTGCTGCTGCTCCAGCCCAGGGTACCAAATATCCATTATCTGATGTGCTGCAGCAGCTTCCTATTTAGCCTTTCTCCTCCCGTCTTGTTCTTTAGAGTCTGTTCTCTATATTGTGGCCTGAGTGGTCTTTTGAAAATATAAACCTGAGCATATTACTCTTTAATTATTAATTTCCTGTTGTTGATGTAACAAATGTAGTGTCTTACAACAGCATGAATTTATTATCTTACAATTCTGGAAGTCAGAAGTCAGTTTTACTGGGCTAAAAGCAGTGTGTTAGCAGGTCTACGTTTCTTCGAGAGCCTCTAGGGGTGAACCTGTTTTCTTGCCTTTTCCAGTTTCTAGAGGCCATCTGCATCCCTTGGCTCATGGCCCTTCCTTCGTCTTCAAAGCAGCAGAATAGTTTCCTCTCTGCTTCCTGACCTCTGCTTTTGTCCTTATTTCTTCTCTCTCTGGCTGATCCTCCTGCTTCCCTCTTATAAGGACCTTTGTGATTACTTTGGGACTAACAAACAATCCAGAATCATCTCTCCATTTCAAGATGCTTAATTTAATCCCATCTTCAAAGTCCCTTTTACCAGGTAACGTGTTTGCAGGTTCCAGGGATTAGGATGTGGACATCTTTGGGGGGCTGCCACATACCCACTTGCATAAAATCCTTTAATCTCTTCTGATTATTTTTAGGATAAAATCCAGACTCTTCTGTATGGCTCTTTCTTTGCCGTCTCCCACAATAATGTCTTGTTACTCCTCACTTTCCATTCTGCCTTCTAGTATCATTGAACTTTTAGTTACTTGAACATGTCTTCTCTCATGTTCTGGCTTTAAAAATTTTTTTAGTTTAGTTTATTTTCATTGAATTATAGTTGATTTACAATATTAGTTTCAGGTGTACAACATAATGATTGAAAATTTTTATAGATTATACTTTATTTAAAGTTATTATAAAATAATAGCTATATTCCCTGTGCAGTGCAATATATCCTTGTAGCTTTTTTTATTTTGTATGTAATAGTTTGTACCTTTTAATCCCCTACCCCCATTTTTCCCCTCCACTCCTCCCTTTCCCCATTAGTAACCATTAGTTTGTTCTCTATATCTATGGAGGACAGTATGGAGGTTCCTTAAAAACACTAAAAATAGACTTACCATGTGATCCAAAAATCCTACTTCTGGGCATATATCCAGAAAAACTATAATTTGACAAGACACGTGCACCCCAATGTTCATAGCAGCACTATTTACAATAGCCAAGACATGGAAGTAACCTAAATGTCTATCGACAAATGACTGGATAAAGATGTGGTATTATGTGTGTGTGTGTGTGTGTGTATAATATATTTTATATATATATATATATGTAGATGTAGATGTGGTATATGTGTATATGTAACATTATATATGCATATAATATATATGTTATATACACATACACACAATGGAGTACTACACAGCCATAAAAAAGAATGAAATAATGCCATTTGCAGCAACAGGGATGGGCCTAGAGATTATCATATTCTGTAAAGTAAGTCAGAGAAAGGCAAATTATCATGTGATATCACTTTTATGTGGAATCTAAAAAATGATACAAATGAACTTGTTTACAAACCGGAGATAGACTCGCAAACATAGAAAACGAACTGTGGTTACCAAAGGGAAAAGGGATAAAAGAGAGGGGATAAGCAGCAAGGACCTACTGTATAGCACAGGGAACTGTATTCAGTTTCTTGTAGTGGAAAAGAATCGGAAAGTATATATATGTATGTGTGTGTTTATATAATTATTTGTATATATATATAAATAGTTGAATTGCTTTGCTGTACACCTGAAACATCATAAATCAACTACACTTTAATTAAAAAATTTTAAAAATTAAAAAAAACAGTGCTGCTGTGAACATTGGGGTACATGTATCTTTTCGAATTAGTGTTTTTGTTTTCACTGGATATATATACCCAGGAGTAGAATTTCTGGATCATATGCTAGTTCTAGTTTTAGTTTTTTGATGAACATTCATGCTGTTTTCCATAGTAGCTGCATCAATTTACATTCCCATCAACAGTGTACAAGAGTTTACTTTTCTCCATATCCTTGCCAGTATTTGTTATTTTGTGACTTTTTTGATGATAACCATCCTGACAGGTGTGAAGGTATCTCTTTGTGGTTTTAATATGCATCTCTCTGATGATTAGTGATGTTGAGCATATTTTCATGTGCTTTTTGGCCATCTGTATGTCTTTTTGGAAAAATGTCTATTTATGTCTTCTGCTCATTTTTTAATTAGATTGTTTTGCTCATACAGTGAGTTGTATGAGCTGTTTATATGTTTTAGATATTAACCTCTTATCAGCCATATCATTTGCAAATATTTTCTCCCATTCAATAGGTTGTCCTTTCTTTTTTTGATGGTTTCCTTTATTGTGCAAAAGCTTTAAGTTTCACTAGGTCCCATATGTTTATTTTTATTTTTATTTCCTTTGTCTCAGAAGACAAAAGTCAAAAAAATATTGACGATTTATGTCAAAGAGTATTCTCCCTTCTAGGAGTTTTATGGTTTCAGGTCTTACATTTAGGTCTTTAATCCATTTTGGGGTTATTTTTGTATATGATGTAAGAAAATGTTCTAATTTCATTCTTTTACATGTAGCTGTCCAGTTTTCTCAGCACCCACTTATTCAAGAGACTATCTTTTCCCCATTGTGTATTCTTACCTCCTTTGTTGTAGATTAATTGACCATGTGTGTGAGTTTTTCTGACTTCTGTATTTTGTTCCATTGATCTGTGTGTCTCTTTTTGTGCCTCCCACATTCTGACTTTTGCATTCTGCAGTATTTGTTTAGAATCTTTCTTCTTCCTTCCTTGCAACCTCTTCTCCGAAGCTCCTCTTTAGCTAACTGCCATTCATCATTTACCATTCCACTTTAAATGTTCCTTCTGCTGGAAGCCTCTCTGACTCTGTGAGACTACAGTGAGTTGTGATAGGTGTCTTTATTACATGTTGCCTATAGGATCTTGTTATGGCACTTCCCTTACTGTATCTTAAGTGCATGTTTTGTTGGATGATTCCAACAGGGTGGAGTAATCAAAATTAAGAAAAGCCCACTAGAGTTTAGTATTTTTTTTCCTGGTAAATGTAAGATAGATAAAGACGATTAAACAAGTAATATTTGCAGGTAAAACTGTTCTGTTTTATTATTTGAAGATAATATTTTATATAGTCTATATTGTAAACTGTAACATAAAGTTTAAATACTCATATTTTCTGCTTGTTTGTTTTAGTTATAGCAAGATTTCTTGATACAGAGCAGCTTCTTTCTGTTTTAGTCCAAATTCCAAAGCAAGACACGGTATGTTTATGTATACATTATATGTTATATTGTTATACACTATGTGATACAACTTGTCTTAATGTGATGTAACAGTTGGAAAATATGAAAATCTTTCAGAAAAGTACTTCATTTTTAATATCTGGAGTATTTTTATGCCTTTTTAAAAGAAACTTTTTCCCCCAGTGTGTTATCATAAATGATAAACTTAAAATTGAAAGTTTCTTAGTTAAGGAATTGACATATTTTCATTAATCAAATATTTACTTAAAGATTTTATATATAATTTAAAAACTTAGATTGTAATAATATTTGCTTAATAAATAATTGGGTGAAGATTATGTTAGATGCAAAGATTATAGATGTTCTTAAAAGGTGATCTTCATGTGAAGTTTGATTAGTTTTCAAATATGCTTAACCTTTAAAAATGAAACAAAGTCTTTGGATATTTTTCAAATTTAAATACTTAGTGCTTATAGGCACATTCTATAAAGAAAATAATAGATGGTTTTCATTCTTTCATTTAAGGTGAATTGAAAGATGTTTATTTTAATGAAATACATGTACAGATGACTCTTGAATAATGCAGGAGTTGGGGCACCCACCTGTCCCTTCCAGTAGAAAACTCGTGTATAACTTTACAGTCAGCTTTCTGCACCCGATGGTTGTGTGTCTGCAGAATGAACCAACTGTGGATTGTGGAGTACTGTATTTATTGAATAAAATCCATGTATAAAAATTTTTTAAAAATCCATGTATGAGTGGACCCTCAGTGTTGAAATCTATGTTGTTCAAGGGTCACCTGTATATTTTTGCTCATGTGCTTAAAAAAGGAAAGAAGTTTTGTACATCAGTAAAATTTGATTTAAAATTTGACTATTTTGCAAATGCATTGAAGGCTTATCTATGTTTAAGAAGCCTTTCTGTATCATAGAGATAACACTCTTAAGGTTCACTTATAATAAAAACATTAGATGGAAAAGTTTTGGCTGTTGGGCAGGCACAGAACTGGAAATTTCCTTAAATAATTGAAACACCTTAAAATTCAATACATACAAATGAGAGATAACCTAGAACAACTGATGTCCGAAACAAAATTGTTTTCATAAAATGAAGTTAGAGACATTCTTTACTCTAGTTTTCTCATAGAGTTTGTATAGAACTGGTATTACTTCTTCCTTAAATGCTTGGTAGAATTCACAAATGAAGCCATTGAAACTTGGAATTTTCTTTGTAAGAAGGTTTTTGATTATAAATTCTTAAATAGATATGATGCTATGTAGGTTACTTGTTTCTTCTTGAATGAGCTCTAGTAGGTTGTATTTTTCAAAGACTTTGTCATTTCACCCAATTGGCATGATATTATTCATAGTAACTTCCTTATTATCCTTTTTATATTTGTTAAGATTATTAGTGCTATACCTCTCACATTCTTGATGTTAGTAACTTGAATATTTTCTCTTTTTTTCCCTCCTGTTAGTCAGTCTGGCTAGAGCTTGTCAATTTTATTGGTCTTTTCAAGAACCCAGATTTTGACCTTACTGATTTTTCTTTCTTTTCTTCCCGGCTCTCTGTTTCATTGATTTCTGCTTTTATTAGTTTTATTTTCTTTCTTCTGCTTACTCTGTGCTTAGTTTGCTCTTCTTTTTTGATGTTGTGAAGGTAGAAGTGGAGGTCATTGATTTGAGACTTTTTTCTTTTCTAATACAGGTATTTAGTTCTATAAATTTCCCTCTGAGCAATACTTTAGCCATACTTCACAATTTTTATATGTTGTGCTTTCTTTTTTGTTCAAAAATTAAAAATGCTTTCTAATTTCCTTTTTGATTTCTTCTTTGATTTGTGGGTTAATTACAAGTGTATTATTTAGTTTCTAATATTTGGGAGCCTTCCAGATATCTTTCTGTTATTGATTTATAATTTAGTTCCACAGTAGTCAAAGAACGCATGTTGTATGATACGGGTCTTTTTAACTTTATTGACACTTGCTTTATTTTGAAAAACTATTTGTTTGGACCACTGGAATTAGGACAATTATTTTATTTGTACAAACAAGAACCAGTGAGGAAAATTCATCTTTTTCTGTAACTGAGAAATTTGGATTCAGTTTTCCTTTTCCTTTTCCTTTTCCTTTCCCTCTCCCTCCCTTTCCCTTTCCCTTCCTTCCTTCCTTCCTTTTTCTTTCTTTCCTATTTTTTGGGGGGGCGATAAACAAAGTTTATTCTAGGAAGAGAGATAAAACCATTTGAAAATTTACATATATGTACTGTTCATTGGATTCAGTTTTTCAAATACCATCCATTCACAAATACCTTTTGTGTCTTTTTCAATTAATCTTAGTCTCTTAGTGCTGCTCAGTATTGAACTGTATCTCCTGTTGCTACTATGGGTTAAGCTGTACCCACAAGGTTGAAATAGAAATGAAAGTTGGATACATGAAGTGAACTCTTACTGTCAGACTTACAGGAGACTAGTGCATCAGACTTATCTTGATGGGACAGGAATTTATAACCATTGTCTAGGCTGTTATCCTGTTTAGACTGATAAATAAAAGTGAATAGACTGTGATAAGTGTGAAATGTTCAAGAGGAAAACCCATTCATGTATTAAATGTTTATGGTGTACACATTTGAATTTTTATCTTGATAGGTTAATGCAGCTGAATCAAAGATAACAAATTTAATATACCTAAAACACACCTTGGAACTTGTGGATCCCTTAAAGGTAATTTATATGTGTGTATATTGTATAAAACATGTCTAACATCAGTTTTTTAAAAACTTTTTGTTTTGAAAAAATTTCAAACTTAGGGAAAGTTGCAAAAATAGAATAATTAATTCCCATATTCTCTCTTTTTACACGTACACACATACTATGGTCCTTATTATTACTCTTACTGAACCATTTGAGAATAAGTTTCAGTACCTAAATACTAAGGTGCATATCTCCTAAGAACAAAGGTGTTCTCTTGTATTACCACAATACAATTTTAAAATTCAGGATTTTTAACATTGGTACAATACTATTACAGTTGATTCTTGAACAACATAGGGGTTGGGGTGCAACCCAACTTCGTGCAGTAGAAATTCCATATATAACATACTGTTGGCTCTTTATATACCCAGTTCCTCCATGTCCACAGTTGTTCCGTATCTGCAGTTCTGCATCTGTGGATTCGTCCAACCACAGATAGTGTAGTACTGTAGTATTTACTACTGAAAAAAACCCACCTGTAAGTGAACCCATGCAGTTCAAACCCATGTTGCTCAAGGGCCAGCTGTATATTACGTATAGCTCATATTCACACTTTTCCAATTGTCCTAATAATGTTCTTTATGGAATTCTTTTTCCTGATGCAGGGTCCAATTCAGGACCATGCATTATATTTAATGTAATTTTTTTATACTTCTTTAAACTGAAAAGTTCTCAGCCTTTCTTTCTCTTTCATAATGTTGACATCTTGAAGAGTAAGGGTCAGTTTTTTAATAGGATATTCCTCCATTTGTGTGATTGTTTTCCCATGATTAAATTCAGCTTATATGTGTTTGGCAGTAGTACCAAATAAGCAATGTTGTATCCTTCTCAGTATAGAACATCAGGAGGCACATGTCATTATTCCCTTCTTGTGATCTTAACTTTAATCATTTACTTCACTGTAAAGTTATATGTATGTAATCTGTGGGGAGATACCTTAAGACTGTGTAACTATTCCTCATCAAACTTTCACCAATTGAATTTGGCATTTAATAATGACTCTTACCGGAAGTAACTCTGGTGATTAAAAATGGTGATTTTTTTCATCTATTTTTAAATACTACATGATTCAAAATGTTGAAATTTTTTTCAATTAAAAGATAAAAAGAACTGATTTTTTTAAAAGAAAAATACTGAAAAATGTGGAAGAATTTTGTTATAGAGTCCATTCTAATAAATATATATAATGAACACAATCTGGCAAGATTTCAAAAGTGTTGTCATCTTTCTTGGAATGAGAAAAGTATAATAAATTATTCCCCCAAACTGGTAGATTTGATGAAACACATATTTCAAACTCTGGTATGTAAAAGGCAAAGTAAAAGCCAAAGAAAATTCGGAAAAAATTATAACACATAACAGACAAACTGTTAATTTCTATCATCATAGAACTCATGTAATTCATAAGAAAATACTGGAATGCCAGTAGAAATATGGAACATGTTTAAAAAAAAAGAAAATCAGTGGTTATTAAATAGTACTAAAAATATTCAACTTCATTCTTAGTCAAAGATCTGCAAATTAAAAACCATAGTTTTCATCTGTTAAAAAAGCAAAGTTTTTTTCCTTAATGGATGCAACTTACTGCTAATGAGAGAACAAAAGAGGTAGACAATTTCATAGATGGCTGGGAGGAGTACAAATTGTACATACCTTACAGGAATGTTTTGCAACATATATGTTTTGATGCTGTAATACTATTTCTAGAAATCTGTTCAAAAGAACTGCTAAGAGGTGTTGACCAAGATTTATGTCCAGTGATGGTTGTTTCAGCATTGTTTATATTCTATTAGTGTAAGTAGTGTAGAACTCCAATAATTATGGGGAGATACTCTTTGCTTCCCACAGGTGGAATAGTATGACTTACTAATTTTTTTTTTTAACTATGAGAACTTCCTGATGCTTGTCGTGTAGAATTAAGTAGGAAAGAAAAGGAGCATGCAGTAATATAAAATTTTTGATTTGAAAAAGTAAAAGGAAATGTACCATAATACTTAGAGTATTTATCTTTGGAAGAGTGGTAGAATTATGAATGATTTAAATGTTTTTCTTTATGCTTCTAAGAATTCTAGCTTTTATTGGTATATAAATATTATTTTTCTAAAATGTTAGCATTACCTCATAGCAAACTAAAATAGGAGGTAAAATGTCAGGTTATCTATGTTGTCTCCTCTTTTCTGTTTATTCAAATAGTACCCATTCATAGTTTCCATTAAGCAAAATAAAATCCCTACTTTTACCATGTAAGAGTGTTGAAGTTGCTCTGTTTACAAATATATAAGATATTCTTTAAACTTAATGTATATTTAACCCAGATTTTGGGATTATGTGTAGAGTAATCTGAATGCACAATGATAGCTGTTTAAGTACCTACTACTAATACATAGTTTAGTGTTAATGGTTAGTTGGAAGACAAGAAAAATAAGTCACAGTAGAGCAGTGGATGCCACTTATTAACCATGTGCTCTTTATCTTGAAAATGGGCCAGATATATTCTGTCTTCACATATCTGAAATTTCTTTTGTGAGTATATAAAGGAGAAGATGAAGCAAGAAATCACTTGATAAACTATAAAGTATTAAACAAATGCAAAGTGCTACATTTGAATAATGCCATAATTTATTATCCTTAACTATCTTTATTTTATTCTTTAATAGATTGCTCTGAAGAACTGTAACACACCTTTATTAAGAGCTTACTGTGGTTCCTTGGAAGATAAGAGGTCTCTGTCATTCAGCTGTTAATAAAATAGCAGATTATACCATTCTTCCTGATCATAACTGATTTTAAGGACTTTAATTGTTTTCTATACAACAATTCCTTGAGTTTTAACAGAAACTTTAAACTGTTCATCAAAAATCTAATTGTACATTACATCTTATAAATACCAATAAATAGGATAATAGCACATTGAGTATTTGTATTAATGGATATAATTAATTTGAATAGCATTAAAATTGAAATCATATGCAATTTTAATGTTTCTTTTTTTAGCTTTTCTCTGTGGAAAGACTTGCAAGTATAAGAATGTATTATTCTCTTTTATTTAATCATGAAGGACCTAATGTAACCAAAAAATCGTCTTTATGAATACTGCAGAAGATCTAAATGCAGTTTAATTTTAATATTGTTTTTAGCAGTGGCACCTTGGTTCTTGGCCAAAAAGACTTGTAATACTTAAAAACAGTTACTTTATTGATTCAAGATTCTACACCTTGTGTGAAGCCAGGAAATGAGGTTAATATTAAAATAGAATTAATTACAAATAAAATTCAGGATAGAATAAAATAAAAATTAGAAAAATAGGTATTACTAGACTTCTGATTTACATGATCCACACTGACAGTTGTAAGGTTCGTATACTGTCTCATAATACGTTTATTCTCCCTTGCCCCAACTGAGGGCAAGGACTGTATGTTAATCCTTCTTTGAATCACTGCACCTAACACAATTATTGCTACATGGTATAAGTAAATGTTTGTTGAGTCAATGAACATGAAGCTAGAATTTTTAAAACAGTGATTCAGGGATGTATTTTATACTCACAGACACTATGTATAATTTGAGAGATCTGTTTATTAGCAGTTGTGAGATTGTTCTTGGTGGTCCCATGTTATTTTAGGAGAGTAGTTAAGACTGACAGAGTAGTTTAAAATTGCCACAGCCACAGTCCTAATTAATTTTAAATATATATTTTGCTTAATTATTTTCAAAATAATTTTCAACAATGATTTTTAAGAAAACATGTTATTTGCTATCATTAACTATTATTCAAATTGTACATTAAAATAATCAATGGTCTTATTGCCTACAATGTTCTTTTTTAGGTTTGGAATTATACTTGACAAGATTAAAACAGTAATTAATGATGATGCGAGGTACATGAAAGGATGCCTGAACATGAGGACTCAGAAGTGCTATGCAGTGAGGTCTAACATAAATGAATTTCTTGACATAGCTAGAAGAACATATACGGAGATTGTAGATGACATTGCAGGTAATTTAATTACTTGAGCAAATTTTTTGTGTTTATTTATTTATTTATTTATTTATTTATTTACATTTTTTATTGATTCATAATCATTTTACAGTGTTG